AATGACTGTGCATTGTGCTCATGGTAGGAAAGGAATCGTTGAAGTATCACTATCTGCATCTCCTTGTCCCCTCACTTTTCACTGGAAACCGTCAAAAAGCTATTTCTTCCATTAAAGAGATTGTGGTATAAATGTCTTGTTGATAAGGTTCCACCTCCTCAGCACTGAATTAGATGGAATCCTAAGGCCGAAAGCTTGAAACTAACTGGTATAAAATGAATGTACAAATTATATCATTCCATGGCCAGGACCTAAACAATAGCAGGAAGTACATCTACTAATGAAGTTAAACAAAAAATGCCTTTCCTTTTCATGTTGTCTTTAAATGTCAGAGGCATTTTAATTCAGAATGTAGTTATTACATAATTCAGGCCAGTAAAATAGCCCAGAGAGGTAATTAGGTAAAGATGGGTAGCTAACAACCTCCCTACCGCTATTTTTTTCCTAAAAGCTATAACCTCCCTTTCTAACCACTATAGCCTTTTCCATAAAGTAATTGGGTCACGTGTTGAGCACCTGTTGTGTCCCAGGACCTTGGCAAAGTGTTGATGATACAGTTGTGGATAAGGGTAGTGCTGGACCCCAACTACCAAGTGTCAGGGCCATAGCTAACTGGGCAAACATGGAAGAGTGTTGAGTTTTTTGGTTTTTTTGAATCAAACTGTCAATTAAATGTCTCAACACAATGGGAAGTCATTATTAAATCCCCATGGATGGATTAGAGTAAGTTAAGTTTAAGCAGCTAAACCTCCCCCCTTTCTATAATAATACACCCTTGAACATGGCTTGTCTCCTAGGACCTAGATACTTAATAAGTCCCAGGTGTACCATGGGCGCTTTCTGTCCCTGACATCAGCAGAGAGCTACTGCCAGACACTTGTTACACATACATTGCCTTGGAAATGTACCTGTGCCTGTCACCATAGCAACACCCTTGAGAATGACCTCAGCAGCGACTCAGAATCATTCCTACAAAACAAATTATGGCTATAATTAACTCTCTGAATTTACTCTGCCATATGAATTTGTTTAGACTGCGATGTTTCTTTTTAAAAGGTTAAATGAATGGAATAATCCAACATGAACTTGTCCCTCATAGTCCACCAAAGATTTTCTTCCGAACATGAAATGTTTCGATGGAAAGTAGAATTCAGATAGGAGATTCTATTACCTTTACTCAAAATGTGACAAGGATCAACAAATAAAGATGCATTAGTTTTATGAGGATGCTAGACCTCCGTTTCTAAGAGAATAGGGTGGCTTTTTTCCCTAAGCAAACATGAAATGCAGATGGTGCTGTGAGCGCAGAGTGAGGGGGTGCTGAGGGGTGTACAGGCAGAAGCTCTTCACACTGGCCTCTCCTTGGCAGTAACAAAATGCAGTTCTTGGTTGTCTACACATTTCACCTGCTTCACAAATTGTCTGCAACATAATCTTCAATTCTGGGTAGCTTCTGAGGCGCCTGGATTTTCCTCTAGGGAAAAATAGTTTGTCTTTTGGTTGGGGGGTTTGTTGTTGTTTTGTGTCCGTTTGCCTTGTTTCAGGGTTTTTGGTTTGTTTTGGTTCCAGCTGATGTGTGTTACAACTAGCAGAGCTAGATGGAGTTCCCTTCTTTAGCCTTTTTCTTTTGTTAAACTAGATTAATTTAACTTTTTTACTACCCTAAGTGAAGTGAGCCTTTCCCTCCACCATCCAACAGAGGCAAAGCAAAAAGAATGTCAAGCAAGAACTGTAGTTTAAGTTAATCAGAAATTTATGGAATATCTTTCTTGGCCGTTTGTTTGCCATGAAATATGTTCATACCCGGGCAATGAACAGACAAAGCCTGGCAAGCATCAAGTGCTCAGTGTATGTTAGTTGTTGTTATGCTGTTTTTTAAAATTCTCTTATGAACCACACTGCCATGGAAAAGGAGCAAAAGAAGATGAGGAGGGAAAAGTATTCTTGCAAGTAAGGATATTTTAGATATCTAGCTAATATCTCAGCACCCTAGATTTATGGGCAGATACCACTGACAATTTTTTTTATGGTAGCCTCTAAGCCCTTGTAAGTGGTTTTTCACTTGTAGGTGTGTACCATCTTACCCGAGCATGTTTTCCAGGAAGCTCAGTTCATCCTTCTAAACTGGAGATGAACTATCCAGGTTCCTACTGAGCAATGTGACAGGTAATTTCCCACTTCATGTGCTGGTTCTTTAAATACTCCTGTGCAAACTACACACCTGTGTTTTAAAATTGGGTGGCAACAAGTAATCTGGTTGATCTTCAGGAAACAGAAAGCCACAATTTTCCTCTACCGTAGGACACCATAGCACCTTATATACAAGTATTAGCAACCCTCTGTTCTGACTTCTGTGTGTGGCATTAAGGGAGCAGAAATGGTTTATTGAGCAACGTATTTCTGAGCAAACTTGCCAGTGTAAATTTAAAGTTCTTCGATTCCTCTGAAAAAAGTTCTTACATACAGTAGTTAGATAAATGGTGATCTTGTGGATTTCAAAATATGTGCTCAAGCTTTTCAAATCAAGGAGCTGATAAATTAGAAAACTACCTCTACACAGAGTAGCCAGTTGATTTTGTATATATGATGTGATGAGCTAGTTTTATCTGTAGAATAAGGTACAGATCAACTCGCAGAACACGAGCATGTTAACTCTATCAGAGGACTCCAAGGCCATGCCCTGATAGTTACTAAAATTTTGGGTCCAGTCCATTTTTGCATTTCCTTCCTGCCTTTCACAACAGTATTCTCCCAGCCTCCCTCACTTTGTCCTCTAGCCAGCTTTATAATAATTAAAGATATCAGACTGGTTCTTATTAGTTAGTAGAGAGCTAATTTCCAACTAAAAAATCATTAATGCATCCAGGATAAGGCTCCTAGAATACAAATTAGTTGATTTGCAATAGGAATTTCTGGGCTGCTACTTTTTTGTTGTAAAGAGTTGATACCTCCAAAGAGGCAGTAATTTTCCTTGTTAAAGGCAGACTTAGCCCTACTATTTTATGATTCCATGAATCTTATAGACATAATATTTCTTTTAACACTCAGTTTCAAATTTAAGGGTATCATTCATATAGACACACTACTGGTAAAACTGCTGTTTAAGTAATGCTAAAACTATATCTCAGCATAGGAAATCCATCCATCCAACCAACAAATATTCATTACCTCAGAACTCACTGTCTTTTGTTTGTGGGCATGAAAGAGTCGAAGATGTAACTCCTTCCAATTCTATTAATGTTTCCACCTTTTCTTTAACCTCGTTCACAAGTTAGGTACTTTGTGTATACACTTGGTAGTTGTGTGTTTGAAACCATGTGCATGCTCCATCCTCCCCAGGGCAAAGGAGAGAATAGTGGTCGGTGAAGTCATGAAGATACTGCTCATAACAGTCATTTTTACCTGGTTGTCATCAAATCATGTCATTCTTAACATTCTAAATTATTTTTTGTACTTTGAGAGAATGGTACGTGAATGGAATAAAAGATTTTTGATATGGCAAAATTACAGTGATGGAGAACATATGAGTGGCTGCCAGGGGTTAGGGCTGGCAGGGGTAACACAGGCAGTTTCTTTGTGGTGATAGAACAGTTCTGTGTCCGGATTATGGTGGTGTTACATGAATCTCTACATATGATAAAATTTCATAGAACTAGATACCCTACCCCCGCTTATACAGTTGGCCCTCCGTATCTGTGGGTTCCAAATTGATGAGTTCAACCAACTACAGATTGAAAACATTCAGGGAAAAAAATGAGTCTACACTGAACATGTACAGACTTTTTTCTTATTATTCCCTAAGCACTACAGTATAACAACTACTTACATAGTATTTACATTGTACTAGGTATTATAAGTAATCCAGAGATGATTTAAAATGTACGAGGATATGCACAGATTATATGCAAATACTGCCCCATTTTATATTGAGGACTTGAGCATCCATGGATTTTAGTATCTCTGAGAGGTCCTGGAACCAGTCCCCACAGACACTGAGGGACGACTATATACATACATACATACGTATATACGAGGGCTGTCCAGAAAGTATCCAGCCATGTAACCATTCTTGCTGTATTAACAATGCCTGGATACTTTCTGGACAGTCTCATACACACACACACACACAGAATATATGGGTGCACGTAACAATGGGTGAAATCCAAATGTGGTCTCTAATTTCATTAATAGTATTGCATCAATGTAAGTTTCCTGGTTTTGATAATGTACTGTGGTTACGTAAGATGTTATCGTTGGGGGACGCTGGGTGAAGAGTATAGGGGAATTCTGTGTAGTATTTTTGCAACTTTCTAAAATTATTTCAAAATAAAAATTTTTTTAAGAGAATGGGAAAGTATCATATAAATAGATAAATTTAAAGTTAAGGTGTGATGACTAAACATTGGGACTATCTGACCTTAGACATTATTACTGCAATAACTAGAAATCTCATAATTTCACATTAATCATGAATGACTTAGGCTCTGGACAGAATTTAGGACATGGTATCCTGTTGTCTTCTCTTAGGGGAATAAGGAAGTTCATTCCAGGAAAAGACTCTGAAGTTCTGCAAACTGGCCAAAAAAAAAAAAAGAGAGAGAGAGAGAGAGCATTCTGACCTTATGTGCAACTCTGTTACCTCAAAAACTATTTGTTTTAAACTCCTGCTTTACCAACCAGAACTGCTAAACAAGTAGAGGGTAGGAGACTAATTTGAATTTCTTTTCCTTCCTACCCCTGCCTTGGAGAGTATGGGTTCTAATTGGTAGTAAGAGAAGAAATGAGAAATTTGGTGTGTAGGTAATCCATAGATGGGTACCTTTCCTCTGAGTGCTGGAAGACTGACTTTATCTGTCTTTTCCTCAACCTCTTTAGCACTTTCTGATGTTTTTCATTCTCTTTTTCACTTCTCTTTTAGGACTCATTTTTGCCCTTCCCTTTCCATAGACAGAGTTGGTATGATGGTCACTAACATTCTCGTTGTGTCTTCCTTCCTCTAGCTATCTTAATGACTTGGACCGCGTAGCCGACCCTGCCTACCTGCCTACGCAACAAGATGTGCTTAGAGTTCGAGTCCCCACCACAGGGATCATCGAATATCCCTTTGACTTACAAAGTGTCATTTTCAGGTAGTAACTGAGCTTTTATGCCTTGCGTACAATTAGTAAACTCTATAAATATTGAAATCATTTGTACACTTTAACACAATATAGCCTTTATACTAATTATTATCATAATTTACAAAAATGAAATAAGGTACCCCTGCAAGAGGAAGTAGCAGAAGGATATACTGGAGAGTTTCTCATTTCAACTTAAATCACCAGGCAGTCAGTAAAATCTTAGTTTGCTGGTGGTTGAACAAAATCAGTTACTCAATGATTGATGCTAACTGTGATTATTTTTGGAATCTCTTTAACTATGAAGACAATGGATATATTTTTAGAATTATTTAAGATATGAATGATCTTATGACCCTATCAATAATAGAAATTATATGTTGTTGGAAACTTTCATATTGATGCTTCCTCCAAGTCCTCTGGAACCAATGCAAAATTTTTCAATAGTAATAAAAATATATAATGTTTTATATTCATAAAATAAGTTGCTTGAAAATTTTCAAAATGTATGATTTTGAAAATGGGTTAATGAACCTAGTCTATATTTATATAGCAAAATAGAATGAAAATGTATTACCCCCTCTCTCACTGCTGCTGGCTTTGTCTGGATAATACTTCAACAGAAGCATTCCTTTATTTTTAAGATGAGAAAAAAATAAACAATATCAACGTACTTTCATTTACTCTCTTATTACGCAATCACTCAGTTGTACTTTTAGTCAGAGTACAAGTACATGGTGTTTTGAGAAATGAAGCCATGTGAGTATTGAGTGTAGAGAGTTGAGTTTCTCAGGAGAGCCCATCCAATTGAAGATGCATGTGTCAGTATCAGGTTGTGAAGCAGGACTTGTGTAACTCCTACGGTGTGACTCTGCCATGTGGTTCTCATTAGTGGGCCCTCCTCCTTTCCTTGCCAGAGCACTGTAGTTTATTCTAACCAATCTCTGCACCTGTGGTCCAATCTGGCTACCATACATTGCTCTGATAGACATGACCATAATGTGGGTGGCATTTGGGAAAAATTTCTGAGCCTCAGTTCTTTTATCTATAAAATGGTTGCATTAGATGATCCCCCAGTGTTCCTTGTAGCTCCAGCATTCAGTATTACTCAAGTTTTGAGTTTATAACATTTTGAGACACCCTAATGTCCTTCCTCTTATAACCATAATACAGAATATTTTCAGAAAACATACAACAGTTCATGGGGATTTTCATCCCATTGCTTCACAATTAGTGGATTCTGGTACCTGATTACTATTACATCTTGTTTTTTCCACATTTTGTGCACTAGCTTTTAAAGAACATTTTTTGTCACTATGATAAAAGTAGTGACTTAGGAGTATAGTTTCCTGTCACTATCAACAACATCTTATGGGGCCCAGTGTGACAGGATTTCATGGAATGAGAATTTCATATAAATGAGGAGCGTATTATTCACATGCTGGCATAAGGGAAGAGCCAGGTTTTTATTATAATATTTCCAAAGACCTAACAATTCCAGTTTTGATGGCCATAGTTCGTAGATCTCCCTGGATACAGTGTTTTGCCCCTTAGGTCTCTCTCCTTTGCCTTTGAAGATTTGAAAGCAGTCACTGCAAGTCCCTTGAGTTCTTAGTTTAGTTTTAATGCTGGGTGGCAGTGGGACAATACCAGGAACAAGTGCAGTTTTCAACAAATGCTTAAAGAGCCCTACTTTCAAACTTTTGTACCTGAGCCTCTCATTCTCTGAGAGTATTTTTTCCTGTGAACATTGTGTGTGTTTCCATCAAGATATGGATTCAACTATTTGAAATTGACGGTGCGGTTTCTGAGCAGTAACTGGGCACAGAATTGATGTGTTAAAAACAAACCGTTGACGTGGTTCACATGATGGCCTCTGTGTGGCACCTTGTAGCATCTTAATGTTTTGTATAACACTTCCTTCCAGCTGGTTAGCAAGTCAGTTTGTGCACGAAGCTAATTGCACCATGTTACCTGACATGGCTGGACCTGTCCCAAATTATTATGAATATTGAGAGGAAAAAATAGCCCAAAATGCTTACCCTGCTGGTAAAGGATTGGTGCAGGTTGTGTTTGCAGTTAGTCGAAGCATCATACTACCCATATTGAGATCTCATATCTTTGAATTGTATTTGCAGTCATTTCTAACGTCCTCAAGAAATACAAGAGGATCTTTGTTCTGACTGTAATGGAAAAGAAACTGAAGTTTAGTATTTGCTTGTAGGACTTAACACAAATAAAACTCATTTGTTTCTGACTCTTTAGTGCTTATTTAAATAAATACCATTTTGCTGAGCACAGATAAGGATTTTTTTTTTTACATAGTTAAAATTTTCATATTCATCTGGTAACTTTCTAATAACCACAATGATTTATTACCCAGAATGTCTTGACTTTGACTGTTAGGTAACAGAGAATTAGCAGGTATTCAATAAGTATTCATTGAATTGACTTGGATGACCATTGTCTTTCAAGAGAATATTTTTTCTGAGTTTGTAAGTAGTGCTATATTTATATTTATATTGATTTTTTAAAATCTTTCTTTATATGTTATTAATATGAGTATTGTTAACTTTGCAGAATGGTCGATGTAGGGGGCCAAAGGTCAGAGAGAAGAAAATGGATACACTGCTTTGAAAATGTCACCTCTATCATGTTTCTAGTAGCGCTTAGTGAATATGATCAAGTTCTCGTGGAGTCAGACAATGAGGTAAGTGTTCTTTGGACAGGCAATGAATTGTCATTTGATTACCCAATACAAATAAATGATAGGGATTAGGGCGTGGGGGATGGGGGGGTGAACTGGCTTCATGGCTTTCTTGACTATTGATTTTAGGATTTTTAAAATAACCAAAAATAACCCTGTGGAACCACATGGTACGCTCAGAGTGGTAAGCTCCCCTGCCAGATGTATGAGCAAGTTTGTGTGTTCAGATTGATTTAGATGCTGTCTATACTTTAAACACTATGCAGAGGTTCTGAAAATGAAAATAACATGGAAATCCCTAGGCTAATCATCATATCATTTTATAGCCTTCTCCCTACAGGATAAAATCAGAAGTGTTGGACTGAGTCATCCTGTTTTGTTTTCATTTTGTTTAAATCATTGTTTGTGTGATGGGTGGGTCCCAAAAAGTACTCAGAACCTCTCTTGGCAAATGTGAATGACTTTGCAGCTGGGCTCTAAATTGATTCATTCTGGAGCCAGGAAGTGTGTTGGTGATGCGGCCTTTCTGCTCTTGTGGAATCCTGTAGGCTGTTGCATAGTTTTGTTTCTACTAAGCAGTGAGTGATTGATGAAGTGCCCCTAACATGCCTGCCTGGAGAACTGATTCAGTATTGTGATCTCCTCCCCAAGACAGGGAAACTTAACAGGTGTAAATGTGTATTTTGAGGATGATAAAGACTTGATGATGAATCAGAGTTGATTATGGAGGATAATTAAGGGTGTAAAAAACTGTGCCTCTGAGCTGGAGTTCAGCGTGCATATGCCTTTGTGTGTTTTGGGGGAATGGAGAAGATGCCATTGATATGCTGTTAGAGGTAGAGATTGCAGACTGAATGCCAATAATAAGTATTATATATCCTTCTTTGTTTATTTTATTATTATTTTTTTTGAGACAGAGTCTCACTTTGTCGTCCCAGGTAGAATGCAGTGGTGTCATTGTAGCTCACAACAACCTCAAACTCCTAGGCTGACGTGATTCTCCTGCCTCAGCCTCCCAAGTAGCTGGGAATACAGGCACATGCCACAATACCTGACTAGGTTTTCTATTTTTAGTAGAGATGGGGTCTCACTCTTGCTCAGGCTGGTCTCAAACTCCAGAGCTCAAGCAGTCCTCCCGCCTCAGCCTCCCAGAGTGCTAGGATTATAGGCATGAGCCACTGTGCCTAGCCCTAGATATCCTTCTAATAGAGTAGAAAATGAAGGGAAGGAAGTGAGATATCCCCAATAGCTGACTAAAATAAGATCTAGCATATTAAAGTCTGCTTTTAACACTGTACATCTTTTTAGGTACACAAGAATTCCTGGCTTCTTGGTTCTTGTAAATATTTCCTTTTATTTTTCTGTAGATATTAATATCTCCATTAAAATGCATAGCCAGTCCTCTGTAGCATTTCTTTTGTGTATAGGGTTGATAAAGTTTCCATGAACCAGTGTCTCCTGTAGAGCTGAGAGTTACCTATTCATGCATTTCAGAATCTTTCCTGGGTTGCAAATATATGGGCTTTTGAGTCAACCAAAGAACTCTGTTTAAGAATGAGTTTTGTTTATCAGCTAGTTGCCCCATACCTGTGAAACAAAGTGCCTAAAAGAATGTTAAAATATGTGACAACCAGTTATCAGAACATAATTTAGGCAATTGCTGTCAGAATTTTAATTATGTATCTCTGTGCTCATTTGTTGTTCTATAATCCTTGGATGTAGTATTTTAAACATACTGCATATTTTGGAAGCAGATCTATTAATTATAAAATTTCTGATTTCTTTCAATGTTGGATCAAGACAAAAAGTATTTAGATGGCTTGCTACTATGTGCTGAGTTCCAGGGTATGTAAAGAAATGCAAAAATGAAAGAAAAAGAAATCAACTTTGCCCTAACGATCTTATAAAAGAGATATGCTTTTGGTCAGAATAAGGCATATGGAGGAAGGAAAACCTTTGTTATGTAGGTCACCATTTCTCTTTAGTTTGCCATCCAGTAAAATAAAAATTACATTTATCAACTATACAGAAAATGTAAGGGGCATATATGATTTTATTTCTTATGTTTACATTATAGCTAGAAGATAAGTGTTTATCAATATACATTTTATATGAGATGAATGCATTATATATATAAAGAAATATATGTCATGATTTCATGCTAATCAATTTACCACTTTAAAATTATCAAACAGAAAAGAAAGATTCTTTTGGCAGCTCATCGGCTAATTCTAGCACATAAATCTGGTTCTTCAATTATCTGAACATTACAGATCATTTATTTCTTTTTTACCTGATATAGCTAATAGAGGTCAGATTTTTATATAAAAGTATATTATATTGATTAGAAGAAAATGGCCTAGTGTTGATTATCAGATGTTATAATTAAAATTTCCATAGCAACTTGCTCTTCAGTGTATAGGTATTAATAACATCTAACAGTATTGTCCTGGTTCCCTTGATTCCTGTGGCCATGCATTACGCTACTTTTGAATAATTGCAGACTAAAATAATAAAGCTATCATTTTTTCATTAGGATTCCCTCATAACTTGTGACTATTTTGAAAGTCTAGGTTATAGTCCTATAAGATAAAAATCAAGTTGTGTGGTGTTCTTGCTGCAGACCTCAAGTCACGCCTGGGGGTAGTATTGGAGATGATCTTAAACATAACGAGAATTCCTTCCTCCACATTAGCCACAGCCGTCACTGGTGCTAATTAGGAAACACTGTCAAAAATATTGTTAAACGTTGGGATGTAGCCACATTATCCTTTTTTTTTTCAGTTGTACTGATATATGAGAATGTCATTGCCTCTCCAACTTCTTAAAACATTAAAGAAATTCAGAACTACAGAATTCCGGTTTCCCCAATTTTTCTGGGTTTGGTGAGACACAACTGAAATAAACTCCTGAAACATTTTGTTCTTGGTTTTGAAATCTGATGTCCATGACTTTAATCCAAAGCAGACCTTGTTGTGCCTCCCTCCCTTGGTATATGTTTGTGGGAAAAACCTAGGAATGGATTCTGACAGCGTTTCTTTCTATCTTGGGAAACGGTGGAAAATGCACTGCAGACCACAGACAAAAGCAGCAAAGGGAAGCATATTAGATTACTCCTTTTGCTTTTGCTTTTAATATTTCTAAAACTTCATGTATTCATCTTCACACTTTTCCATCAGTCTGCTTTTGCGTCTAGATTCTCAGCCTTGCTATTGTTTGGGGAATTAATTTCTTTCTTTTTTCCGCCAAAGAAGCAACTATATTATCAAACAGTGGCTAGAATACCCAGGGTTATAGAGCTGTGTTGATTTGATATATTCCCTTTGCTGTTCTTGTTTTCTCTGTGACAATATACCGGCATGAAGCCAACTCTTCTGCTGTAATCGTTTCGTGGGTACATTATTTCAGTGGCCCTGAAAGCCCAGAACACTCAATAAGATATCCACATAACATATTTCAGTTCACCAATGTTATCCAAACACTGCCTTTTAGTCTTTATTTTTCTGGTTTTCTTTCTCATGAGTATCTGAGCATTAATGCAGAGATGCTTTCTCACGCATTGCCTCAGTAACTGTCTTCTAGACTAAGCTCTTCATAGAATCTCTAAGACTGAGACCTTTTTCTCCTCCACTTCCTTTTTGAATGTGAGCTTCTAACTTATTAATACTCTTGAAATGGTCATGGAGAATTATAGTTTTTATTAAAATATCAAGATATTTCTTTCCACCCCAGGCCCTCCTTTGACCAACAATGGTTCCCATAAACATTTATTCTTCAAAACTGATTTTAGGAGTTGCTCAATTGACAAAGTATTAATAAAAGTAGAGAGTAGACAGTTATAATACTTTAGCACTTTATGCCTGTCCAAAACATGCTAAAACCATTACTCATTTGAATCTACCAACTGACCTCCCTGTGCAGCAGGGTAGATCGGGTTTTCCTGGTATGCATTATAATGATGAAGGTACAAGAATGGGGAGATTAGGTCTGATGGCCAACGTCACCCGAGGCCAGATCCCCTGCCCTTCCAGACCAGTTTTCTTTCCCCTCCTTCACAGTGTCTTCTAGAAGTTAGAGACAAACTCAGAAAAAATTAGAGGAGCTATAAGGCAGCCAAGAACATGGAAGTAGAATGAAAATCCTGCCCTTTCCAGAAGGAAGTGAAATAACTCTAAGCACGTATTGTATTTGTAGGTAATAGTAGAACAGCCAGAGATCCTTTGCCGGTAATTCTGAGTTCCTGTATTACTCATTTGATTTGGAACTGTGTTAAAACAAATAGTCTAAAATATGCATTTCCTTTGGATAGTTCTCTTCTCCTAGATTTTAAAATGAAGCTATTTTGAAGTTATTCAACTGCAACCAAAGTCTGAACATTTTCTTTAAAAGTGTGAAACATGTACTTTGTTCTGCTCTAAAAATTCTGAGTGAGCTTTTGGGAATTTTCTTCAGATAACATTCAGCTTTGGGGGAAAAACTGACTAATAACTGAAGAGAAAACATTCAAACTCCAAAGGAAAGATCTAAAGGAAACTTATAAGTAGTTAAAAGTAAGAACTTCAGTTAAGATATCTGGTCACATTGATCACTAATTGACTCAGACCCTCTTTTATTGACTCTTAATCAAATTATGCCTTTGGTACACTTGGCTCAGATTCATGACCTGATTAACAAAGATATTCCTAAAAGATGCCCAACTTTTTTATATTTAACCTCTTTCCCATTTCCTCATTACTTTGTTCATTTTCAGCTACTTGTCCCTTTTTAAACTCCTTTTCCCACCCTTTCATTCCTTGGCCCCTCTGCTTCCTCATTACTACACCCCTCCTGCATGTCTTCGTCCTCCTTGCTTTTCTTGTGCTAGAAGGAAGTTTTCTGATCACTGTCTATGTGTTTGTACCAGACACCTGATAGGGGTACAGTGCTGGTAAGGGTATAGTGAAGCAGACACACATGAACACGTTTTTGTGGGAATGTAACTTGGAAATCTTCTAAAGAATTTA